ATCAAACAAATATTTTGTGGTTCCCTTGAAATGAAAGAAATTTTGCGTGTCTCATTGAAATTAATAAAAAATATTGAAGGGTTTAGCTGATTGTTAGTTAATGGCTTGTTTAAATGTTTCATATCCATGTGTATTTAGCTGCCTGATAATCAAGTTGAGTTGGACGAAAAATAATCAAATTTAGCGTTCGCTGTGACCTTCGAATGAATGCTTAAATTGATGAATTTTATTCATTATTTTGCCTTACAAACGGGAACGATTACATCTTCTAAAATATCTAATCAACATATGCATTACCTAGGATCCGTAGAGAGGATTATACTCTCATAACTATGTAAAAGCTTTTCACGGGATGCGTTAGAAATATTGTCAACTTTTATTATGATGGGATAATAATTCAACTACTCATTCTTAGCCTTAGGCGTATAGCAGTGTCAGAAACACAGTGGTTACAAAAGCGATTACGTTTCTTTAAAATTACCTCAACGCCGTACTCTCCCCCCGCAAGGTTTCACTTTGAGGAGGAGGGTACGGCTACACGTAGGTTGCCGAGTAAGGCCCTGTTTTAAATCAGCGAAAACAGCAGCATTTGCTAATACAACTAATACAACTTCAACTAATACAACTTACAGTTTAGTTGACACAATGTTATTAAATTCCTAACCCTGTGCAAAAACTAAAATTTTCAATGAAAAACAACCGAGCCATTAAGTATGGTGCTCGCATAACAAGTATCACTCTCGGTCGAAGTTTTTATCCAGGACTGTCAGAATTAATGGCCAGACAGGACATATGCTGACATCACAGGCAGTAGGAAAGACAAATACGTGACGACCAATCCTTTTGCGTCAGCTTTAGGGTCCTTTACTTCCACACCTGTTCCGGTTTCCTCGCAATGGCCTCCTTTACAGTCGCGTTTACACTTGCTTCCATTGCAATCCAACAAGCAATTTCCACCAGGACAGGACATAACACACATGTCTGAACCCGTCTCACAATGCATTTTGCAATGTCCCTTTGTGCAGGTCTGTTGACACTCCTTTGCCTTGCATCTCATGTTGGTGCAGTTTTTTTCGCAGACCTGGCTGCAGTCACCTTGGTCAGTAGTACAATTGAAATTGGCGCAATTGCCTCCCAAGCATTCACTTTTGCATTCTTTCGCTGTGCACTTGATATCGCAGGCTCCTTGCGCGCAGGTTTGTTGACAAGATTCGGAGTCGCTGTTCATGCACTCCAAGTTGCAGCTGCCTCCTATGCAATTACTTTCACACTTTGAAGCTTCGCACTGAATTTTGCAAGGCCCTTTGCAACTCTGTGTACAGTCCTTGGTACCTATAAGAGATCGTAAAAATAATTTTTTGAGTTTAGCTTGTTCCAATTTCACATTCGGATGCACTAATAACTGAACTATGATGAGAACTAACCGCAAGTTACGTTCTATACTGGATTTACATGTGACAAGCGGCCTGTCTGCTCCTAAGATCAGCGATGTCAAAAGCCACCTAAGCTCATTTGTAGCCCTCTTTTTTCCCTTTTATCCTGCTTATTCTTCCTTTTTTCTTCTTCTTCTTCTTTTTCTTTTTCAAAGGACTTACCTTTGGAGCACTCGAGTCCACACCCCTCCCCCTCGCAGCCTTGCTTGCAGTTGTCAGCCTTACATTCCACATGTGAGCAATTCTCGGCGCAATTTTGAACTACGTCTGCACCGCTGGCGAGTAAGCCACAGTTTCCCTTCTCGCAGTGTTGAGTACACTTCGATGTTGCAGTGCAGTTCACCAGGGAGCAGTTTCTGAGGCAAGTCTGGGTGCAATCGTCGCCGGAACATTCAACTGAATTACACTTTCCTGACAGGCATCGCTGATAACAACTTGAAGAGTTGCAGCTGATATTTGAGCAAGGTTCCACCACGCAAACCTGGTCACATTGAGAATAGTCCGCAGTATTTCCGCACTGAAGATCACACACTCCTGTCAGGCAGATTTGAGATCGGGTCGTGTTCGACGTCTGTTCACAGGATCCCCCTTGTCCATTGATGAGTTGAAATACGGCAGACAGGAATAGAATTTGAAGGAGCAGCGCTAATGGGAAGGTTATCTTCATCATGAGAAAAGTCAAGACTACTTGATCTAGGAACATAAAATACCAAATGAATTTAAAATATAATTGTGAGGAAAACGTGTAGCACAGTAAATCGAGTTTTTCTGTCCTAAGAAATGAGCATTATGTCGGCTCACTCGCATTTATTCTTCTTGACTTGTGCTAATTTTCACTGAAATATTTTCCAAATACGCGGCAGTAGTTCGAAAACGACTTTAATTCACAGGAAAGGTCGCTATACATCTCCTGTCTTAATACTGACGAAATTTAATCTTGTACCTTTTGATTGAATTTGCATTAGAGTAAAAACATCGTCCGATATGCTTGAGATAAGCTAGATCATTTGTTGTCAAGAAATGTTCTTCATCTGCACTTCATTTTGATACGGAGCAAAAACGTTTTGGGGTAAAGGAATAGTTTGATCACTGATCCCACGAATACAACAGCCTGCTAACAGAAACTTCTACAAAAAATTGCGCAAATACACTGGACAGTATTTACATGAAGTTGTTTACGTACAGACGCTCACGCACACAGAAAAAAAACTCTTCACTTTCAAACCATGGCAAGCAGGTGAATTTTCAGATACCAGCATTTTCATTTTCGTAAGTTTCTAAGTCTGTTTTTTTGGTCTGATGGACTGTGTATAAACTGAGATACAAATTAAAAAGGTCTCGAAGCAGAATTCGAAGAATTCTTTAAAAGCACTGAGCTTGGCGGTTGACATTGACAATAAAACATGTAGCAATATTTTTTAATGATGCAGAGCCTTCAAAGAGGCTAGGACGCAACATTGCATGAAACATTGCCTTGCGAGTTTGCCGAAGATTCAAGTTAAAATCGAAAATGAAAGTTTCGTGTCTGCTTCAGGCATAATCATTGCGGTTGAAATTTTCTAAAAATAAATCTTTGTAAAGCCGGCCTTTACGGTTCAACTGTCATGTCAGACTTTTCTAGAATTTTTTCATGTCTGTATGACTTTGAGAACCAAAATTGTCCCAAATCCTG